CGGGCGGGCGCGGGGAGCGGTTGGCGCGCGTGTGTTCGCGCAGTGGCATGCCGGTGGGAGGGCGAGTGTACCCGGGGACGCGCGAGAATCCCTGCGGGTAGACGAAGGTGCGGCTGCATGTGTGGGGGCAGCTCGCGGGCGGCGGAGGCTCCAGTGTTTGTGTTGGGGTTTATCAAAGTGGTTAAGCTCCTGTAAGTGCGACCACGTGTGTGGAGGGAAAACTCCTGTATGCGTGTTTGTTTGCATGGGGTTTGTAGTTGCATTTTTTTTTTTCTCGGCATTCCAACTTGTGTACTGTTGCATTTGTCATGCTCAGCTGTCGTCATGAATTAACATCTCCTAGATATATGTGTGCATGTGATATAAATCTCTGGCAGCCTAGATAAAATTGTGCAGAATGTTCTTTTACACCTACCCATTTCTAAGCACATGTGTTTGCATTTATTTAATGAAGATACAGGGGGAGAGCAATGTAATTTGAAAAAGCACAGACTAAATGGGTCAGCTTTTTATTTGTAATAATGAAGAGGATGTTTTTAATCTGTCTTTGCAGGGGTATATGCAATTTCCTTTCACATCAGAGCCCCTAATGCCTCATTTGTTCTTCTGACAACCTTAGAAATTCTTCAGCCAGGAGCTATGTATCCAACAGGCAGACGGCTCAGTCTGTGGATATTGTGTAAGTGTCTGGAATGTACACCTGGTACCTCTCCACTGGTATCCACAGTTTAACAAAGTAAATAGAAGATCTCAAGGTGGAATATGGTAAGTAAAACACTGCTCTAAACTTACAAAAAGCCCGTGACCTAAAAAACTGGGGACAGGTGTCAGCTGATCTACTTTCCAGCTACAACACTGTTTTGTTGAATTCACTTTAGGCAACTCTCTTAAACTTGCAAACCTCTATTTCACCATCTGTCAAATGGGAGTGACAAGATTTGTTTTTGTCTTCCTATGTCAGATATTAACTTGAGTATGTTGTGGTACAGTGCAAAGCCAAAAATTAGAGATTTGGTAGTAGGCAGGTTGAATCAGTATTGTCTCTAGTGAAAGCAGACATTGGTCTCAACCACCAACATACTTATGGGGACACCTTTCTGTGGTTCATAGCCTGGGGTCTGAGGCTGGCCTCTTGAGGGCAGTGCTTTGCAGGGATTTCATGATATTCCTTACGCTGAGAGGCTTTTGGATAGTGGCGGAGCACCAGAGGCTGCCAAAGTTTCTCTCAGTAGGTATTTGATAATCAGATAAAAATGATCTGATGTCAGGATAGGGAGCAGGGGAAAAATAGACTAAACTGTGCAGAAAAAGGAACGGAAATTGACCTTGATTGGCTCTATCTCAGGACTGGAGCTGGCCTTTCCTGCTTATCTGGCTGAAATACTGAAAGAAAAATCTCAGTTTACACAGAACCAAATCACCAAAGAGAATTAGAAACCCTCATCCATGGCACTGCCTGCAGAGTTGCCAGGAATAGTGCTTACCCTACTGGCCTGAAATAATTACGCATCTTGCTCAGCATCTTGTCCTAGACTAGGGATTGATTTAGGCCACTGGGAAAACGAGGGCCCAGGTCTTTGCTGCTGAACCATAATTCCATCTCTCTGTTATGGGATACGCCAGGATCAGGAGCTAGCATAGATGGACACATTGCCATCTATTTTGGTGTTCTGTTTGATATGAAAAACTGTGGTTGCTCAAGCCAACAGCTTTTTCCTCTTTTTAAACTGAATTTTTCATGAAGTAACCTTTGTCCTGTTTTTTGTTTGTTTGTTTTTTTTAATCTACGCCCATATGTGTTAGGATCCATATATGAATATTTCAGGGCTAAGTTTTTGTTTGCAAGCACGGTGGAAACTTTTTTTTTTTTTACTTTTCCTAATGAGCTCTCATGCAAATGATAGATTTTCTGAAATAAACTAGCACAGAGAAAGTTTCTGGCTTCTGTGATGGATGTCTAGTCCATCTGTGGTGGGTGGGCAAGGGATGATGATGCACATACATTTGGATAGAATATGGAGATTTGGGGAGCCAAAAAGATAGGGCCATTTATCTCTTAATCTATCTCTTGCTATCCGTAATAGATGTCTTCCTTGGAAGGCATCTTCATTAAAAGAAGATATCTGATACACCAAATATCTGATACAAAATTTCAACTAATCGTAATCCTAACCTGAGTCTGCCATTGGCTCTCTTCGTGGAAGAAAATTAGTATTGAGTTTTTGGTAGCTTCTAGAACTTTTGGCAAAGTAACCATGCAAGCCATGCTTCCATTTACCTGCTGCCATCACAGTGGAATGTTTCCCCAATCACACTGATGTGTTCATTCATGTAAGTGTTCAGGTTTGATAGCAATGGTGGGAGAAGACTGGGAAAGAGAACTAGGAAGAGGAAGAGGTGCTGAGGATGATGGCAGAGCAGATAGTAGGCAGTGGAATAATGTTGCAATTCACTAGTCAGGGTTAGTCATGTCCTTATTTTCCCTCTCACTCTGAACCTTTGCCCTGGATAAGGGGGAGTTGAATTTAGCTTTAAGGAGGGATTAGTAAGAAGAGAATGTGAATGTTGGTTTGACAGGTGGGGTGGGGGAGGCCATTGAAATCCAGGGGCTGACAACCACTTGAGCAGTTTCTTTTTCCCCATGCTCAAAACTCAGCTATGCTAGGCTTCCATTCTCCAAAATTTTGTAACAAAACTTAGGCCGTTTTGAGTGAGAATGTCTAGTAACAACTTTTTGGTGAGTATGTTTTGTTTAGAATTTAGTATTTTCTAATGAAGGCGTGTTTAAAAATGTATCAGTGACTTAATTTTATTTACATATTAGAGTTAATTATTGAAATTCTTGATAAAAATTTACAAATGACAACTAATCTGTAGGTGTTTATTGTCTAAAGTGTGTTTCTTCAAGATGTGTAAAAAAAGCACATACAATTAAAATTACTGGATTAAGTAAATCAAAATGATTATTTTTTTTTTTCAAAGATTTTATTTATTTATTTGCGAGAGAGAGAATGAGAGACAGAGAGCACGAGAGGGAGGAGGGTCAGAGGGAGAAGCAGACTCCCCGCTGAGCAGGGACCCCCCCCCCCCCCCCGCCAGTGCGGGACTCGATCCCGGGACTCCAGGATCATGACCTGAGCTCAAGGCAGTCGCTTAACTGACTGAGCCACCCAGGCGCCCAATCAAAATGATTATTATTAGCACATTTGTAATAAAGCATTTGTAATGACTTAAGAAATTCATCCACAATAAACACAAAAGAAATATGGTTATAAGCTTTGCAGAATACTTGATGTCAAAAGAGGGAGAAAATTCTAAAATTAATGGTCTTCACAACTTTGAAGGCAATTACTGATTCCGTGCTCAGTTCTTTACAAGCATTAATTCATTTAAATCTCATAATAACCCATGGGATTAATACTAGAATTATAACCTTTTTACAAAGAATAAAATCAGGTTTAAGACATTTATGTGCCCAAGATCATTCCAGGTAGAAGTGGTCTGGCTGGGATTCAAACCAGGTCTGTCTGACTACGGGTGGTTCTCTTTATTACTGTCCTTTATTGGAGCAAGGATGAGCTTTCAAATGGGGGAAGGAAGCAGGCTGGGTAGAGAGCAGGCAGGGCTGGTGAAGGGGACTTTTCTTATTTTTTTAGAGTAGCTGGCCAGATGAATGGTGATGCTACTGTCTAGAATTAAAGAAATGGAGAAAGAAAAGTAAATTAGAGAGGTGGGAAGATAGGTTCACTAAGGAGAAGAAGATCCAGAAATATATCCCAGAGGAGATGTTCAGAAGGCAGTTGGGTAATACAAGTCGAAAACTAGGAATAAATTAGTCAGTAAGTAAATAATCCTTGATTTTCTCCTCTCTCTGGCAGCCATTCAGTAGTGCCTCCTATGGAGACTTGCATGGTGCACTCATTCCACCCGTGGTCCACTCTTGTCTCTATCTTCTCTAGGTTGCTCCCCCATGTGCATCCAGGACTGGCGGCTCATGCTCTCTTTGCCCCACACACTGTCCCCTGTCATTGTCTTGAGCAGGTTCATCCTGCCTCACAGTCCATTGTCTTTCCCAGTGCCATGACCTTTATCTTAAAGTCCTCAGACCCAGCGTGGACCTTACTTGGACCAAGATGTAGGCCAACTCTGAAAACTGGAATTTTACAATCCTACTCTTTGACAACACTCTCTGGTCTTTCCCACTCACTGAACAAGCCATTGACTTGCCAAAGTCTCTACTCCTTCCATATGCTACGTGTCCTTTTAGTCCTTCTCTGCCTAAAGGCCATATCACGCTGTGCTTTCCAAAATGACCTCCTGGTGCCTGCCCCATCCCTAATCTCATCCCTTGCTCCTAGGAAGCCCCTTCTGGAGGCAATCATGTGATGTACCAGTTGCCATTGCAAACCCTGGGGGCAAGCCTCAGGTCAATCCCTCCACACACACACACACACACACACACACACACACACACAGCAGATCTCTTCCCAGGCAACTTCCAGATGCCTGTCACCTGAGCCCCGCTCAGCCCCAGCTCTTTCCTATTGAGCAGAGGCCTTGTCTTCTCCCTCAAGAGGAGGAGAGCTAACTCAGGAACATCCTCCCTCTTTTTTCTTTCTACAAAACTTATCAATGGTTCTCATTTTCTTCCTTTCCCCACCCACTCCAGATATCTTTTTCCTCTCCTTGTTCTGGGTCAATTCCTCCTCTCATTTGAATAT